TGTTAGCTGCTGGAGGGGGCAAGTCCACCACTTCCATTGGCTTCACTCTGTCCTCTCGCCAAGCTGCCTCTGAAAAAATACAAAGATCGTCAATATTTCTAGAAAAAATGCTCCAGGAGCGGACTGCAATACCTCACCTGCGCAAGTTGTGTTGGTCGAGGAATCTTTGCCTTATCGTTACAGGCAGCTGTGCACTGTCACAGTTCACCACTGAAATGCATTTTGGATAGTTTTAGATATTTGAATGTCATTTAATGGAGCAGCAGAAGGAGCTTTACCTTGAGAAGCATTGGGAGCAGCGGTGGTGTTGACTGGTGGTGCGGGCGTGGGAGGAGGAAGGAGTAGTGGGAGCACGCGTGGTGGTGGCATTTGCCGTACGGTTTCCTCCTGTAGTGCCATTTGAGGTGCCATTTCCTGAAGACAGTTCCATCGAAGATGTCCCATTTGTGGCTCTTCCATTTCCTACCTCCTGTGGTGTGCGCTATTTCCTGAGAACAGAAGAATGTTCTTGGATTCTGCTTTAATTATATTAAATGTCACTGATATTTGTGACCGCCTTCCTTCCAGTTCTTGCAAAAGGCTTACCTTGGCCCCCGATGCCTCCGAAGTACGAGAAGGCGAAGATCGCCTGAAAAGGAAAATAGGAGCGTTGCGAGGAAATTGAGTAAAACTGCGATAGAGCATTTATCTATACAAAAAAAGTGCTCACAAAGAGGAGGACTATCCCGGAGGGAGCCATGACGTCTGATATCCAACACCCTGTGGCCCCTCCTTTTATAGCAGTTATTTTGTTTTGGTGTAAATATCTTATTAGCATATATGTTACACCTATGACTAGTGCATCGGTTTATACACGATTTACATTTTTGCTGAGCATAAACTTGCAGTGTAGAACAACCATACACCTACCCTACAGTATTACACCGCATTGATAGTTTTGACCTAACTATAAAGTGGTGCGAATCACTAGAGGGAACAATTTCGCGAACACCTGTAGTTTATTTTTCACTTCTGAACCCACAGAGCATGCTGAGCCATATAGATGGAATGGTAACGAGTGCCCATACGAACTTCTGGGCGGTGAAAGTCGAGAGAGAGACGCAATGCCGTTCTTCCATATGCACAAGTATTCCATTTCAATACTTCTAAAAATAGGCAGATACATAGAAAGGATCGAAAAGGAGAATGCTGCTGACACACTCCAGTGAAGATCCACACTTCTGCGAAAGTTTTTTCTAGCTATAAAATTTGTAAGTGTGGACCATTTGCAGTGGTCAGAACGACTGCATTGTGAGTAGAATTGTCGATGGAGCTTTGCCGATGAGATTGTTTGAAGATCCCTTAACTCAAGAAATGGATCCAAAGAGCACAACTTCCAAATGGGGAGAGGTCAGTAGCAATGACTTCCGGTAGAATGATCAAGAAGCAGAGACACCTCTAGAAGGTACATTTAATGCTCAGTCTGGCTCTCACTATGGGAACAATCCGTGGTTCCTGTTCAAAGGGTGCTGTCTTTGCCTGCTGCACTTCATTATGACGAAAGAAAGCCATCTTGTTCAGTAGATCTGAACCCTCATCACTTCTCACTATGGTTCAGTGGTCGAAATCAAAGCCAGTCTAAGTTCGTGATCCTGGGGCAGAGTCACTGAAAGTTGCATAGAAGAAAGCCTGAGAAAATGAGTGAGGACTGCTTTCGTGCAAGTTGTGAGAAGTTCAGGGACGTGACCTCGAGCCTCTGTTCGTGCCGGTGCACCCCATTTTGTAACATTTGAGTATGCCATATATTGACCTATATTAGGTTGTCTCATAAATAGTGTCGCTTTTTTTCAACCAAAAAATTTTCATCCAAATCCTCATGCTTTTACATCGAGTCATATACCATTCGAAAGAGAATTGTCTGCTCTACAAAATATCGTGTTCTTCTTCCATCTATGTTCCATGGTTTTCAAATTTTAAGCCTGCGAAATGGGAGGTCCCGCCGACAAAAATTGACCAAACCGACAACTAGCTCTAACTTTATGTTCCCTTCGGAGAAATCAATCAATGATGTACCCTCTACTTACTCATGACCTCTTCTGAACATTCCACCCTTAGGTTGCCGAAAAAGGTTTGCCCTGTTTCTTTTCGAATTGGCCGACCGATAAGCCATGGCAATTTTCAAATTGAAATTCTTCCTCTGAAACGCTATTGTTTTATATCAACTGGTTATCTTTTGTGAGCACTTCTTCTGCTTTATTCGCTCATTTGTTTTGTTTTGATGTTTGTTAGGAATTAGCTCGAATTTTAGGGTTTAGGAGTAAGGTGCTTTGTCCACAAAAGTGACCGCATTTCTTTGAAAGAAATTATCCTTGAGGAGATGAGAAAACCAACCAGGCGTACATTCCTAACTTAGTCACGACTTGTTCTTGAAATTCTACTAGTTTTTCAATGTCTCGGCTGTAAAAAAATTTCGACCTCGATCTCAGGTAATGGTGCTCAACCGTCGAGTTCTGGTTGAAAAACCGGGTCTGGAAATGGAATGATGCGACTTGTTGGGAAACCTAATAGTGTAATGTTTAGAAGAGGTCATGCATAAGTAGAGGGTACATCATTGATTGATTTCTCCGAAGGGAACATAAAGTTAGAGCTAGTTGTCGGTTTGGTCAATTTTTGTCGGCGGGACCTCCCATTTCGCATGCCTCAAATTTGAAAACCATTGAACATAGATGGAAGAAGAACACGATATTTTGTAGAGCAGACAATTCTCTTTTGAATGGTATATAACTCTCTGTAAAAGCATGGGGATTTAGATCAAAATTTTCTGGTTGAAAAAAAGCGACACTATTTATGAGACAACCTAATACAAATAAGTCTTACAGTATACAACTCATAAGATTTAATCAAGGGGGGGGGGGGGGGGGGGGGGGGGGGGACGCTTCTGTTAAAAAACAATTCAAGATTGCAATGTATAAGGTGGTAGTTCTTTTAACCACACCCGCTATTGTACGCATGCCATCGTTTAATTGAGGTCAACACCTAACCCGAAGTTATTTTTCAGTTACAATATATGCTCTTTAGCTTTTGAAGATATCAACACCCTTCGGTTTTCAGGGCGCGTTACTGCAGGGCCAAAAATCAGCCAGTGCGCTTTGATAAGGTTAGGCTAGATGTATGTTGTTCTAACTCCCTACAATGGATTTATGCTCAGCAAAATGTAAATCGCGCATAAACCAGTGCAACTAGTATAAATGTACAATATGGTAATAAGATATTTACACCAAAACAAAATGACAGCTATAAAAGAAAGCCACGGGGTGCACAACATCACACAGCATGGCTCCCTCCGGGATAGTCCTCCTCTTTGTAAGTACTCTTTTTGTACAGAGTCATATCTCAATCATAATTTTACTCAATTTCCTCGCAACGCTCCTATTTTCCTTTTAGGCATCTCGCCTTCTCGTACTTCGGAGGCATCGGGGGCCAAGGTAAGCCTTTTCCAAGGCCGACAATAAGACGGTCATAAATATCAGAATAACTATAATAATAAAGCGATCCAAGAACAGTCCTTCTGTTCTACAGGAAATGGCACAACCACAGGAGCAGGAAATGGAACGGCCACAAATGGGCCATCTTCCGGGAATGGAACATCTTCAGGAAATGGCACCTCAAATGGCACTACAGGAGGAAACCGTACGGCAAATGCCACCACCACGCGTGCTCCCACTACCCTTCCTCCTCCCACACCCGCACCACCAGTCAACACCACCGCTGCTCCCAATGCTTCTCAAGGTAAAGCTCCTTCTGCTGCTCCATTAAATGACATTCAAATATCTAAAACTATCCAAAATGCATTTCAGTGGTGAACTGTGACAGTGCACAGCTGCCTGTAACGATAAGGCAAAGATTCCTCGACCAACACAACTTGCGCAGGTGAGGTTTTGCAGTCCGCTCCTGGAGCATTTTTTCTAGAAATATTGACGATCTTTGTATTTTTTCAGAGGCAGCTTGGCGAGAGGACAGAGTGAAGCCAATGGAAGTGGTGGACTTGCCCCTCCAGCAGCTAACATGTACGCATGGTAAAATTTCATATTTTCAAAGAAGGGTCATCTGCACAGAGCCACACTATTAGAACAGCATTCTCGAAGAAAGACTGTTGTTTCCCGTCGTACCCTTCTATCGCTCGAAAATGCCTCTACTCCTTGGCTTGATTTAAAAATTCGCTCTGTGTCCTTTTCAAAGCCTCGTCTCAAGTTTTTCTAATTTAGCCCACCTATGCATTATTTCCGCTAAATTCTTCTTCCTGTGCCTCCTTGATCATCTTATTTGCAGAGGTACACTTGCGAAGCCGAATCTTTTGCTCATCGCACGCCAATTCCTGCAATGAAGAGGTACTGCCAGCAAATGAACGTCCCAGTTACAAGGAGAACGTCTACAGATACGGGGGACAGGAGGACTCCCAGAAGCCGCTGAAGAGGTGCGAATTTTGGGATATCATGGGTAGTTACCGGCTAGGCGCTGCTTAATAGTGGCTAACAGATAGAGAAAATCAAAAAAGAAATATTAAGGCTATGAACAGCTGGTGGGGCCAACTGGCGAACTCCGGCATGCCATCAGATATGCAGTTCACACAGGCAGTTCGCAGTCGAACAAGCCAAGTGTGACCAGATGGACAAAGGTAGGCCTTAGAAAGTTACTAGATGTTCATCCTGCTTGAAGTTCCTGAATTTCGTCACAGAATTCCCAACTAAAATTCGAAATCTCGTGCAACGTTCCCTGAAAAACTGACACTACTGTTTTTGATTTCAGCGTTAACATCATCGAATCGCTCCGGCCCTCTATTATTAGGTCTACTTCGGGAAAGGAGTATCCGCTTGGCATTACGGCGATTTGCTGTACATTCCCTCTTACACCCTGTTTATCCCTCTGATGGGGTGGGGGGAGCGAACCTTACAGAACGCCCAAGCGCGATTGATTTTTGTAGGCTCCTGTGTGAAGTACTATACACGAATAAAATGAGGGATTTGGGATGCGATATTCACTGAGACTACCATTCCTCTATATGAAATTTCCGAATGCTCAGTGAATAAATAAGCGGCACACCCCTGGGTTTGAGGTTATGGGGTTCAAACACCTTGTCTTGAAAAGAACGGAGGCAGCGAAATTTAAAAAGCCTTTTCAAAATAAAGCAGTGTCGGCGTAACCGTAACCAATCAATAGTTTCTGAGGAAATGTCGTCCGAAATTTGCATAATATTTCTAGAACACTCATGCCGTGCGCCCACCCAAAAAATAGCGTTACGTAATTCATGGTTGGAAAGCTAAATGTCCTCGTAACAACAATTTCAGATGGCCTGGTGGAACAACAACCAACTCGGCTGTGCCATACGTCAGTGCGACAATTTCAAGCTCGTTGTGTGCATGTACAGTCCCGGGTATGTTTCTCGAGCCTCACCTAGGGAATGTTCTGAACCAGCTGTTTTCAGAGGCAATGACGTCGGCAAACCCGTCTACAACATCGGCACTCCGTGCTCGGCATGCGCTGGGGAATGCTTCGAAGATCTTTGCACTTAACGACACTGTTTTTCCTGGACGAAGGAAAGACCAACCATTCCTACACATACCGAGTTCTCGTGATTCGCCTATATTCCCTCAAGTTTTCAATGGTGTTACTATGCAAAATAACACCGCAACACTGAAATAAATACATCAATTCATAGATTTTGTACATTCTATTTGGGGATAGCTTTCAAAAAATGCTCAGAATTTTCAAGGTCCTTTCACAATCGGTGAGTTACTATCGTCAGAAAACGGACTTCTTCGCTCATAACAATGAAATAAATAAACAAAACAAACAACCAATACTTTTTGCATTCGGATAGGGCCTAGATTTCAAAAAAAAAGGCTTCGAGAAGTAGACAACTAATGAGTACAGTATGCATCATACTAAGGCCAATAAGCTTAGCATTGATTAAATAGATGATAGAAGCCTAAAAGGCATGCCCCGATGACAATTTGTGTGTTTCGGTCACAAGAAATACAGTATTGGTGCGAATGGGCTGGCGGTACAAAGAAAGGGAAAGAATCCGTCGAAACGCCTACCGGTTAAGACCTATCCCCCCGGCTGTTTTTCTAAGGCAATGAGAGAGTACGCGTCGAGAGGAAGTCGAGCACAGTGGCAGTCCGATAAGAGGGCGTCCCCCGACAGAGGGAAAAAAAGAGGGGTTTGCAGGGCTCGCTGCAGCTCGTTTTGCAGGAACGCCTTCAACCTGATTCTGGTATGCTGCAGTGTCCTCCAGCTTCGACCAGATATAGTGGTACCAAGCCATTGAGACAGATGGGTTAAGCGGATCTTTCAATTGGACAGAATTGACCTGTCAGGTTTTGTTGGTGGTGATCCCTTAGTTCAATGTCCAAGCATCGACAATAAGCCAGGAATGGTAGCAACATCGGCGTACCGTGAAAGTCTAATAACCTCGGAAAACAGTTATGACTCCTGATTTGTTCAAGGCAGGGACAGCCGATCGTATGGAATTTACGTGAGCACAATGAGAGTATCTAGGAGTTTGTCGCTGCGACGGTGAAACATCGCTCTTTAAAAATTACAGGCATGGTAGCACGAGCGTCAGGTCCAGGTTGACACGCAAGACTATTGAAACCCCAGTCACACATTCATTTAAGGCTTAAATGTATCAACTTCAATACTAGCAAGTTATTGAAAGTTCCGAGCAGGATTACAGTCGGGGTTCAAATCCAGCCTGGCTTTCCCCCCGCTCGATCGTCGTTAAAGTCTTGTTGAAGGCTCTTCCGCTCCGTCCTGACGAACCATCAAGTCAATTTGTAAAACTGCCCTGCAGGGTACTCCTTGTTGGTAAACCTGTTGATGTTTTTTCCCACATACTCTTCACTTCGGCTGGCTTACTCGAAATGATACTGCTTTTACAGTCCGAGGCCAAGCTTTCAGCAATCCAAAAAAGTGCTTCTGCTCGTGTCCTGTGAGTTCATTTCGCCGCTAAATACTTTTGTTAAAATCCGAGGTTCCTGGTTTTTTTTCTTGGAGCGCAGCGAGGGCCCGGCGACTCACTACCCAGATTTGAAAGTACCCCGCACCCGCTCGCGTGTGAGCGCGCCACCTTTGCACAACACCACGTGTCCTCCCAGTACTTTCGTTGAAGTTGAAGAGACCGACCACGGCTTCACTGAAAGGTCCTTCGTCCGCAAGTGGGCTCTCCCGGATGATGTCGACCTCGACGCGTGTACACTCAGCTGATGGATGGTAGGAAATTGGCAATTGAGGCTTCCGAAGACTGGTACTTTCCTGTAGGCGCAGAATTATTTGTGAACCTTGGAAAATTCTTGGAACTTTTTTGTGGACCTTATTCTTTCAGAGTCTCCAGATCAAATCCTTTCCCTTTAATCTTTCCCACGTCGTGATAAATAAAGATCTGAGTTAGGGAAGATTATTGCTAGGCCGTTAATCCGGGACGCGGCGCTAAGCATAAAAGCGAGGATAGTTCGTACAGTTGCGAGTGTGTTTGAAAGTCGCTCACCGCTGTTGTGGCTTGTGAAGCCGCTCAGCGTGAAACAAACCTAAAATTCTAGTAATGAGAACTTAAAATTGACCAAGCCTAAAATATTTAGGGGGGCAATAAAAAAAGACATTTGTCTCCACTTTCAGATGATTTAAAGGCAAACCCCGGGATTAGCCCAACTAGTAGGAGGGATTCACGGGGGAAATTGTAAGGTCCGTACGTAACTGGATCACTCCAGCTTCGTCGCAAAAACTGCGCGGTTAGGGCGCTAGTCCTTACGGGCCCGCAACAACCGACTCCCGTTTCCAACACATCCCACCCGCCGCGAGAGGTGGTGAGATCAGCGTGCATTGATGAGAGATCAGCGTACTCTCTCAAACCCGAACCTTGCCTTTCGCGTATTGTTGGATCTTCTTTGACCACCCTTTCTCGCCATCGTACCACATTCTACCCTACTGAAGGTTAAGGCCTTAATTGCAGCGTTCCCAAAGATTTCTCTTGCTTTCCTTTCCACTTTCAGGTCGTTCCGCAGCTAAGCTATCACCACAAAGCGCTGATAGCACCTGTTTAATCCCGGAGTTTGCCTTTAAGCCACTTTGCTCAAATTGAGACCGAGTGCTCCCAACTTAATATTGAAAGAGCACATTTCATTCTATGAAAAAATCTTCATGTTGGCCACCCACGTGGACGGCAACAGAAGAATTTGCCCTGGAAACATGGTGCACTGGTCGAGCTCAATGGGGTCTTCGAAGGATCGTGTACCATAACGACCCTTACTGGAAAGCTAGTTCCGAGGGGATTTGCACAGTGGTAGCTAATGCCTCTAGAAAACTATCCAACATTAAATCGATTCACGAAATTGCGTAAGAGCTTCAGGCTGAAGCTCTTACGGTAGACCTCCTTGAGCCTGACGACGGTGACAGATGACGTCATATTCTGAAGACGGTGAGGGCAGTGAAGGAGGGCCTGCGTCACTTATAGAGGGACACTTAGGGAATACTGCTGAGGAACTCCCGTCAACGACAGCAATCTCTGCGAAGAAAAAAGAGCCGAAGTCCGACATAGGCAAAATGTCTTTTTTCCCCCCCCCCTGTATATTAATTCCTAGACTGGCGGGCTCTCAACTGAAGCATTAGACATGACGGCTGTTTTTGGCGCATATACTTGGGGCGAGAAGGAACCCTGTTCTTTCCTAGTCTCGTAGTTCTCTAATGCTATGTACGAATCACATAGATGACCATCAACAAGGGTGTCCTATCTGATACAGCCCCGGGAGGTAGGTTTTGGGTCGTGGAAAATTTTGAATTCAATTAGACGCGCCGTTCAACCCTGCATGCGGCTGTATGAGCACATCGTCAATTTCAGTACGCCTCCCTCCATTGCTGGAGATTACCGAGTGGGACCCCTTGCAGACCGCTATATCGAACTATAACGAACCTCAAGACGACACCTTCGCGGAAACACGATCTTGCTAATTCATTTCCGCACACAATGTCACTGTGATCACCTGGAAACAGCAAACACAATTTTGCCCCACATTAGGATTCGTTTACGACGAGAGACCCCATATAATCTCACGAAATTCATTTTATGAACAATCGAAGGTAATTCGGGCGGAGCCAAAGGCGAGGCATGAAAAGAAGTTGGCCTTTGGCCGGCCACGTATAAGGTGGCGCAATGAAAGAATCGGGTTAAAGCGCGCCAGAGAGCAGAGTACAAATTTCATATTTTCAAAGAAGGGTCATTGCACAGAGCCACACATTAGAAAGCATTTCTTAGAAGAAAGACTTGCTCCCGTCGTGCCCTCCATCCTCGAAAATCCTCATCCTTGGCTTTAGTTTAAACTCGCTCTGTGTCCATTTCAAGCCTCGTTTCAACTTTTCTAATTCACCAATACTGCATTATTTCCGCTTATAATTCTTCCTGTGCCTCCTTGATCATCTTATTTGCAGAGATACACTTGCGAAGCCGAATCTTTTGCTCAATCGCACGCCAATTCCTGCAATGAAGAGGTTCTGCCAGCAAATGAACGTCCCAGTTACAAGGAGAACGTCTACAGATACGGGGGGACAGGAGGACTCCCAGAAGCCGCTGAAGAGGTGCGAATTTTGGGATATCATGGGAGTTACCGGCTAGGCGCTGCTTAATAGTGGCTAACAGATAGAGAAAATCAAAAAAGAAATATTAAGGCTATGAACAGCTGGTGGGGCCAACTGGCGAACTCCGGCATGCCATCAGATATGCAGTTCACACAGGCAGTTCGCAGTCGAACAAGCCAAGTGGTGACCAGATGGACAAAGGTAGGCCTTAGAAAGTTACTAGATGTTTTTTTTGCTTGAAGTTGCCTGATAGATTTCGTGATGGGAATCCTCACTAAATTGCGAATAACTCGGGCAACGTCTCTGGAAAAATGTACCACTGTTACGGTACCTCTTACCGGGGTAGGTGGTTTGAATTTCAGCGGTTACATTCTATGAAATCTGCTCCGCACCTGTCAGGCCACCTCTGGGAGAAAGGAGCTCTTGACATCAGCGGCGTTTGATCTTTTGGACTGCACTAGATACTAGCTCCTTTGTTCTGCCTCTGATTGAGCAAAACAACGCCTCTTCTGCCTCTTATGAAGATACGTGCGCGAATCCCATTTTCCCGAGTTGGGGGGGGGGGGCAAATCTACAGAACGACCGCGGCGACTTGAGGCTCCTGTGTTAGGTACACGATATCCGAAGATTGGTGCGAGTTCAAACGATGTATCATTTTCTCTGTAAAATTATTCCGGTCTCGTTCAGTGAATAAATAACGGCAAACGGGACTTGGGATTTGGGGTTTGAACGCACCCTGTCTCGAAAAGAACAGAGGCAGCGAAATTTGAAAAGCCTTTTCAAAATAAGGCAGTGTCGGCGTGACCGTAACCGATCAATAGTTTCTGAGGAAATGTCGTCCGAAATTTGGCACAATATTTCTAGAACACCATGCGCCCCACCCAAAAAATAGCGTTACGTAATTCATGGTTGGAAAGCTAAATGTCCTCGTAACAACATTTCCAGATGGCCTGGTGGAACAACAACCAACTCGGCTGTGCCATACGTCAGTGCGATAATTTCAAGCTCGTTGTGTGCATGTACAGTCCCGGGTATGTTTCTCGAGCCTCACCTAGGGAATGTTCTGAACCAGCTGTTTTCAGAGGCAATGACGTCGGTTTGCTGTTTTCAGAGGCAATGACGTCGGCAAACCCGTCTACAACATCGGCACTCCGTGCTCGGCATGCGCTGGGGAATGCTTCGAAGATCTTTGCACTTAACGACACTGTTTTTCCTGGACGAAGGAAAACAGACCCAACATATCCCTACACATACCGAGTTCTCGTGATTCGCCTATATTCCACACTATTTACCTCAAATGGTGTTACTATGCAAAATAACACCGCAACACTGAAATAAATACATCAATTCATAGATTTTGTACATTCTATTTGGGGATAGCTTTCAAAAAATGCTCAGAATTTTCAAGGTCCTTTCACAATCGGCGAGTTACTATCGTCAGAAAACGGAGTTTTTCGCTCATAACAATGGAATAAATAAACAAAGCAAACAACCTATACATTTTTTGCACTCTACTAGGGCCTAGACTTTAATAAAAAATTTCCAAAAAATTGAAAACTAATGGTTACAGAACTAAGCCAATACTTATGCAGTGTTAAATAGATGATAAAAGGCTTAAAATGCATGCTATGAACAAATTATGGTGGTTTCGCACAGAAATATAAAAGGATAAAGGATAAAGCATTTGCCGTTGATCAATCCCTTTTTGGGATGCGGCACGCATTCTACTTCCATTTGTACATTCGTAGTGGCGTTTGAATGCGATGTGGCCTATACAATGACTTGCGGGGGCCAGCCGATGTTCAAGTCAGTGTTTTTATCCTCCCAGACAAGTCTGGTACCAATTAACCGACCCCGGAGGGATGGAAGGCTTGGTTGGCCCGGGCGACTCACGACCCAGGATTTGATCCCGGACCGCTCGCGTGGTGAGCGCGCCACTTGTCACTACACCACTTCCGCCCAGAATACTTATTCTTCGAATAGAAGATATTGTGGGAAATGGGCTGGCGGTAAAGAATAAAGGAGAAGAATCCGTCGGAAACGCCTAGGTTAAGAGCATATTTCCCTTCGTAACCGGCTGTGCTAAGGCAATGAGAGAGTAAGCGTAGAGAGAGAGTCCGAGGCGAAAGAGCGCAACAGATGAGAGGGCGTCAGACAAGAGGGAAAAAGAGGGAAAATTGCAGCTGCTGCAGCTCGTTTTGCAAGGCATTAGCGCTTTTGTCGGGCGATTTTCTTGCACGGGAATGCCACACCTGTGATTATACTCTAGGGTGCTATCCTACAGACCTAAGGGATTAGTTCACACGACTCCTGTCTGGGTTGTGCCTTTGAAGCAAAGCTCTTAAAACCGTCTCTGGTATGCGCAGTGTCTCCAACTTTCGACTGGTAGATAGATATGGTACCAAGCCATTGAACAGATAGGGTTAATGGACTTTCAATTGGTTTACGTGGACAGAATTGATCCAGGTTTTGTATGTGGTATACTTGTATGTTCAATGGTTCCCAACACTTTCATGCATTGACAAATAAGCAGGATGGTAGAAATCGGTCGTAAACCGTGAAACTCAATAACCTCGGAGAACAGTTATGACTCCTGATTTGTTCAAGGCAGGGACAGCCGTCCGTATGGAATTCACTTGGTCACAATGAGAGTATCTAGGAGTTTGTCTTCAAAAATTACAGGCATGTCGGGCACGAGCGTCAGGTCCAGGTTGACACGCGGGACTATTGGAACCCTAGTCACACATTAATTTAAAGGCAAGATTCAAGCTTAAACTGATGAGGTAATTCTACTCAAATGTGATGTAGGGGCGGGAGGTGGACCGCCAGTGGAGAAAAAAGGAAAAAATTCGTGAAATACACAGGAAATACGAGCCTTTTGCTCTACGTTGCGGAGAAGTTCAAAAGGCCGGCAGGGAGATGAGAGATAATGTGAGCGCGGAGAGCGGTAGAGAAATCCGAGAAGAGAGAGCATAGCAGATCAAGCATTGCGACGCAGACAAGATATCGAGCGGTGGGCGGAGCGTGTCGCAACAGGTGGAGCGTGTCAAAGTCCTTGGCCCCTAGCGCCTTAGTGACGCATTTCGATGCGGGAACTTGGCGAGTCGCCTGCAGTTGCGTCCCATGCGCTTCTAGCCACTTTAAGGGCTTATTAGGTGGGTCTGAGCCCGAACTTTGCCTTTAAGGCTTAAATGTATCAACTTCAATACTAGCACGTCATTGAAAGTTCCGAGCAAGGTTACAGTCGAGGTTCAAATCCCGCTGGCTTTCCAGCTCATTCGTTGAGTCCTTGTTGGAGTGTCGTCCGTAACTGACGAACCATCGAGTCAATTTGTAAACTGCCCTGCAGGGGTACTCCTTGTTGGTAAACCTGTTGATGTTTTTTCCCACATACTCTTCACTTCGGCTGGCTTACTCGAAATGATACTGCTTTTACAGTCCGAGGCCAAGCTTCAGCAATCCCGGAAAAATTGGCTTCTGCGTTTGTGTCCCTTGAGTTTCATTTCACGCAAATATTGTACTGTTTGTTTCCGAAGATTCCTGGGTGGTTTTTCTTGAGCGCAAGCGAGGCGGCCCGGCGCGACTCACGACCAAGCGATTGATCCCTGGACCGCTCGCTGTTTGCTGAGCGTGCCACTTGCCACCACACACTTCCGCCCAGTACTTTCGTTGAAGTTGAAGACCGACCACGGCTTCACTGAAAGGTCCTTCGTCCGCAAGTGGGGCTCTCCCGGATGATGTCGACCTCGACGCGTGCACCTCAAGCTGATTGCGATGGGGGGAAACTGAGCCGATTGCAGGCTCCGAAGAATGTACTTCACCTGTCAGGCGGCAAGGCAAATTATCCTGTGGAACTAGTGAGGTGGAAATTTTCTGAGCCTTTTCTTTTGAGCCCAAGAGCAAATCCTTCCCTTTGATCTTTCCACTCGTGATAGATAAAGATCTGAGATAGGAAGATTATTGCTAGGCTCTTACTCCGGGACGCGCCAAGCATGCGAGGATAGTTCGAAGTTGCGAGGGTGTTTGAAAGTCTGCTCAGCCCTGTTGTGGCTTGTGAGAGCCGGCCAAGCTGAAACAAAAGCCTAATTCTACTAATGAGAACTATAAATTGACCAAGTCGTATAATGTAAAACATAGGTTGTTAGGGAAAGTTCTCGCGGTTTTTCGAAGCACGTTGAGCTCTGGTTGAGCAACTTTTTTGAATCGAAGCCAGAAAAGTTCTTTGCCGAAGGCATCAAAAGTCTGCCCGAAAAATGGCGAAGAGTGATAGAACGTGATGGTGATTACTTTGTTTCCTAATATGTTTTCTTGTTGATAAAAAATTAAGGTAATGATATGTGTCAAAAACCGCGAGAACTTTCCCTACAACCTATTATAAATACTAGGCTATCGCTTGTTTACTTCTCCTTGCAGCATGTAGACAATGAGCTGTTTCAGCGCATTACTTGGGCCAAAAGAGGGAACTCCGGGAGTTCTTTATAAACTCGTCAGGTTCTCTCTATCTATGTCTGAATCACATATGACCATAACAACGTGCTTTATCATTACAGCCTTGGGAAGGTAGGTTGGGTCGTGGAAAATTTTGAATTCAATTAGACGCGCCGTTCAACCCTGCATGCGGCTGTATGAGCACATCGTCAATTTCAGTACGCCTCCCTCCATTGCTGGAGATTACCGAGTGGGACCCCTTTGCAGACCGCTAGATCGAACTATAAGCAACCTCAAGAAGAGTCCTTTGCGGAAAAATCTTGCATTCGTTCCCAACACGCATGTCAATTGTGATCACTGGAAACAGCACACAATTTTACCACATGAAGATTTCGCGTTTCGAAGAGAAAACTATTGTCTCACGAAAATTCATTCTGTGGACGTCGAAGGTAATTGGGGCGGAGCCATGGAAAGATGTCCGCCTTGAGGCGGCTACGTATCAGGCGACCGCCAATGAAAAGAGTTGGGTTTACAGCGTGCCATATTCCGGAGAGTATTACAAGAGTACAAATGGGATCGAGAGAATAGTATGCACGAGAGATGGAGATGTTGATGCAGTACACCGAACGCCAGAAAGGTCTCTTAGTAACGGTTCGAGAGCCAAGTGGAAGCATTCCCTCCGCCAGCATTTGTGACAGATGTCCTGTAATTTGAACGCGTAGCAGCCCTTTCGGTGAATTTTTACCAAAACAGAACGCGTTTTTTTTCATCATATTTGTCGGAACGATGGGTTCCCACGACAGTGGTATACGGGTGAGATTATGGATTTTTCAAAATTTGGTTTCCATGAAGAATTCCTCTAAAGATGTAGCGCTTCTGTAAAGACCTCTAGGCTTTCGTTACCAATTTAACTGAGTTACCTTGAAAAGTTGTGGTAAGTATGCCAGATTTGTCCATGACCACATCACCCTGTATGTGTAATATGTAGTGGTACTACTGCGTATTTCGTCGACATGAATTGCACAATATATCTGGACTCATATTGTTTATTGCAGGGTTATGGGTTGTTATTTGGCATAGTAACACCATTAAAAAGTGAATTGGAATATAGGCGAATCACGAGAACTCGGTATGTGTAGGGAATATGTTGGGTCTGTTTTCCTTCGTCCAGGAAAAACAGTGTCGTTAAGTGCAAAGATCTTCGAAGCATTCCTCCAGCGCATGCCGAGCACGGAGTGCCGATGTTGTAGACGGGTTTGCCGACGTCATTGCCTCTGAAAACAGCTGGTTCAGAACATTCCCTAGGTGAGGCTCGAGAAACATACCCGGGACTGTACATGCACACAACGAGCTTGAAATTATTGCACTGACGTATGGCACAGCCGAGTTGGTTGTTGTTCCACCAGGCCATCTGAAATTGTTGTGATGAAAATAATCGACTCATCAGCAATCAAAAAAACATGACGTATTCCGTGGGCAAGGGGGGGGGGCAGTGCACAACGATGCATGACGTTTCACAAATATTGCACCCGAATTTCGCCCCTCCCCCATCTCTCTAAAACAGCTGCATGGAGTTTCTCAATCTCTCACAATCTTATTAACACTTCCAATGAGGCTTGTCAAATTTCACCGCCTTTCTTCCCCAAACATGAGAAGATGGGGTGGTCAACCCCCGATATTACTGTAGTTGGTCCACTGAACAAGGCCAGAAATTCACCAGTGAACACGGCTTGTCTTTTTGAACTTGTTCCACTATCTACCATCTTCTGAA